TTCTGAAGCGCTCAAACCCATTCGAAACGCAGCATAACATAGCTGTCGAAAATACGTTTTTCGTCATTCCAGGTTTTTAGGTTTGTAGTCAAATTTTTTACTCAACTTTCCAAAAACTGGGAACATAATGATAGTATTTTGTTAGAGCAGACTTAGAGCTTCCGAACGCATACTAACACTATGCCAAATGCTTTTCAAAAAACGAAGAAAAAATTATAACAAAAAATGCGAACGAACTTATTGCACAACCTAATATATACAGGGTGTCCCAAAAAAATGTGAACACTGTTTGGTTGTTAATAACTCCCTTGCTTTCATGTCTTTCGCCGAGCTTGAGTGACCATTCTATAGAGCGAGGTTCAACTTAGATTTATAGCATGGATTGAATTACCGATCTCTTTTCGTTACTGTAGGATTACGGTAGAAATTTCGACAAGGATTTTGTGCCATTGGAGGCCATATTCTGCCTTGGAACAAAGCCAAACAAGTCAAAAACTTCTACACCATGGTAATGGAGGACGCTGATTTCGAATATGAAATTCCCACTTTACTGTGATGCTTCTTTCCAAGGTTATCCTAGGTAAACCGTAATAATTGAATTTCAAGCATCTGTCAGAAATGTGACTACACCGTCAAAAAAGCTAAAAACACCCGTAAAAAGTTGTTTAATGGAATCAGCGTGCACGAAAACCCTAGTACACGATTTTTCAAATTTTTTGAAAAAACTTTTATCAAATGGCATATTTTACAGTAGATCCACATGCTAGAAGTTCATACCATAATCCTACAGTAACGAACAGCGATCGGTGATTCGCTCCATACTACAAATCTAAGTTGAACCTCGCTCCACATAATGATGCCTCAAGCTCGGCGAAAGACATGAAAGCAACGGAGTTATTAACGATCAAACAGTGTTCACATTTTTTTGGGACACCCTGTATATATATATTTGGAATCAACGTGTTTAGTAACTAGTGTATTTGAAAGTAAAAGTTAGCGGGAGTGTGCGGATCTTATTAAGCAAATTTCATTATAACGTACAGCGGAGAAGGTAGATCGATTCAGGCAGTAACCGCCGAGAACCACAATTTCGAATGATAAAATAATGAAAAATAGTGAAAAATAATTCCACTGTTATAAATCTGCTGGCTGAAGACCTCCGCAGTTGCGACTTCATAGCTTTTGAAGGGTAAGTGTTGCTCTACCAGATAGTGAAAGAATCAGTTTGATTTGAGGCCGCCGAGAACGAGAATTTTGAAAAACCTCAAAAATCTTCTCAATTTTAGGTTGCTTGATGACAGCTGACATATAAACTCTTATAAATCCGGACTTTGAAGGTGTGTGATGTTGCGACTTTATAGGTTATTTAGAGTGAGGTTTGTCCTATCAGAATATATCTTAGCTGTACCGATCCATTGAAACATCGCCGAAATACAGTCTCTTAAAAAAGCAGGTAAAAAACCGTTTTTCAGCTCATAACTTCTTCAGAACTGCATAAATCATGTTGCGACTTCATAGGTTGGATTCTCCTCATCAAGAGCTTTCAAATGTATATAATACAGGGTGTCCCAAAAAGATGTGCACACTGTTTGATTGTTAATAACTCTCCTGCTTTCATGGCTTTTGCCGAGCTTAAGGTGCCATTCTGTAGACCGAGGTTCAACTTAGATTTGCAGTGTGGAGCGAATTACCAACCGCTCTTCATTACTGTAGGATTACGGTATGAACTTTCAGCATACAGCGTCACTGTGAGATAGACCTTTTGATGAAATAATCTTTGAAAATTTGAAAATTTGTATGGCAAGGTTTTCAGGCGTGCTGATTTCACTACATGACTTTTCATGAGTTTTTCGAGCTTTCTTGATGGCGTATTCACATTTCTGATGAACACTGGAAAACCAGTTGTTATCCTAAATTTGAATTAACTTATGAAAGAAGCACTACACCAAAATGCAAATTTCATGTTTGGACTCAGTGTCTTCGTTTAGCCCATTCAAGAGTTACTGGCTTGTTTGGCTTTTTTTCTGAGGCAAATTACCGGCAAAATACCGCTTTCAATGGCTTAAAACCCTTCTCGAAGTTCCCACCGTAATCTTACAGTAACGAAAAGTGATGGGTGATTCGCTCCCCACTGCAAATCTAAGTTTAACCTCGGTCTAAAGAATGGCACCTCAAGCTCGGCAAAAGACATGAAAGCAGGAGAGTTATTAACGATCAAACAGTGTGCACATCTTTTTGGGACACCCTGTATATGGGAATTCACACCTCACGGCATATGCCCGGGGGTGGATTACCTCTCTTCACTAATTCTCCACTGGCGGTCTCCCGCCAATACATTGAAATGGGAGGGGTGGAGAATTAGTGAAGAGGAATACTCCACCCCGGGTTAGAGCCGCAAGAAACATTAAGTTCCCCAAATATTATATATCGTCTGAAAGCTCTTGAAGAGGAGAATCCAACCTATGAAGTGAACATGAATTATGCAATTCTGAAGAAGTTATGAGCTGAAAAACGGTTTTTCACCTGCTTCTTTAAGAGCCTGTATTTCGGCGATGTTTCAATGGATCGGTACAGCTAAGATATATTCTGATAGGACAAACCTCACTCTAAATAACCTGTAAAGTCGCAACATCACACACCTTCAAAGTCCGGATTTATAAGAGTTTATATGTCAGCTGTCATCAAGCAACCTAAAATTGAGAAGATTTTTGAGGTTTTTCAAAATTCTCGTTCTGGGCGGCAACTCCTCAAATCAAACTGATTCTTTCACTATCTGGTAGAACAACACTTACCCTTCAAAACCTATGAAGTCGCAACTGCGGAGGTCTTCAGCCAGCAGATTTGTAACAGTGGAATGATTTTTCACGATTTTTCATTATTTTATCATTCGAAATTCTGGTTCTCGGCGGTTACTGCCTGGATCGACCTACTACATAGATATATGCTCTTAATACTTTCTTTTACCCTTTCGCTTATTTTCCTTCTTCTGAGCTTTAGCAAAAAAAATTTCAAACGCAGGTTTGAGCTGGTACAAGGTGAAGGTGGTCACCCTGTACCAGCTCAAAAGTGAAGGTAGGCGGAGAATCGGCTCCGACTATCGCACCTCTGCTCGCTACCCCAAACGCGGGGCGCGGGGCATTTGGCTCTGGTACCCTTTTCTTCGCTGTTTCGAACCCAATTTTAGCAAGCTATATATCATTTTGAAGCTCTTGATCTCTATTTTTACGCTGACAACGTCCCAGAACCACATTTTTTGATTTGGTCGAGAAATCTGGCAAAAACCTTGTTTTCGAAAATCTCTTGTTTTTCCCCTAGTTTAACTCTTTTCACGTGGTTTTTTCGTGCATTCCATAGATCTTGCTTCTATTCATAATGCAGACAACCACCCAGCCCTTACCTCTTCGATTATGGTGGAATTTTTTGCGAAAAATCGTAAAAAGTGTGTTTTTCTTTACCTTGTTCTGTTTCAGTGCTTTCGCATCGATTTTTTTCCAGCTTGGGCGAACAATAAGCGCAACAATCCAGACAACGTCACAGGAAACAGGAGCGTCAATGCGGGGGTGAAAATTTGAAGGACGCATCAAAAATCAAATCCCCGTGTTGCGAATTGCTGGTTGGAGCGAAAACTTGCGCTTTGAAAAGCCGCCAGATGAAAGATTTCAGACCTCTGCAGCATTTTTATCCGGTTTTCAACAGTTTCTTTCTTTTTGTATCTGTTTTACGTCATATTCTCTTCTCTGATCTTCTTTGAACAACCTTCACTATGACGTCAGATGTTCAAACAACCTTCACTTTTGACGCTCTGTCTCTAGACTATCGAAGGTGTGCTTGGGGAAAA